GCTTCCGTACCGTGGCTTCGACTGCCAACGCCACCGTCATTACTGCGCCTGGTGCCGCCGTCCTACACGCGTCGGATATAAGAAAGGTTAGTCGAAAGGGTCGAGGGGAGGACGTTGCTCTCAGCGCGGGGGGGGGTAGGCGGCGGGGCGAAGGGAACCGCAAACTGAGAGGGTCGGTGTTATTTTTTGCCAGACAACGGCACCATGAAACGCACACCTTGGGGGGGGGGGGGGGGGGGNNAGGGTAGCATTCATGTTTTGGGTATTGTTGGTTGGCCGTCCGGTTGGCCTGCTTGGACTCCACGAGGCGTTTTGTTTTGTTGGGAACCGGACCGGTCGCGGTGTCTGACAACTCGGCATGTAGATTTTCGGGAGGGAGGGCGGAACGGCACGATCATCTTGCCAACGGTAAATGAAAGGGCGTAGATGACAGTTCTTGTTCGAATAAACTGTAGGTTGCCGGTAGCCTGTTGCTGTTGTTTCGCTATTGGTGCGGTGCGGTTGGATTTCGTTCGCACATGAATCTTGGCAGCGAGGAGGACAGACAAGACGACAACCTACAATTTCTCGTGAAATGCGCTGCATGATGAGCGTTTTTTTCTGCAGGCACGACACTAAACCCCAGCCCTCGCCCTCCGCCGCCCGCCTCGCCCCTGCCCCGCCCCCTCGCTGCCGCCGCCGCCTCTCCCTTGGTGGTGCTTGTTGATTGCTTTCGTGATCGTGCAATCGCTCGTTGGTATCGTCCTTGCCCGTGGCTGGTGTTCTTGTCGTTGGTATCAGGGGGGACGCAGACTGTCCTGCGAATTTTGCGGCTAGGGGTAGGGGTAGGGTTAACGGTCAAGAGAAGTGGCGTTGGAGTCTGATGGCGCTGTGTTGGCGTCATTACAGTGGTGGAAGGATGAGGGCATGACGGGCTATTTCCTGTGTGGGTCGTGGTTTGGGGGGCTGTTAATTTTTTTTTCCACGTGGTGGGCGCGAGACATGTGCAGAACCCAGCACGCAACTATTAGTGCATTTGGTGTAGAGGGAAGGTGCTCTTGCGAAACCAGCCGCATGCGAGTTGGCTCGCACCCGGTGGCCTCAGGATGGGGGAGGAAGGGGACTTGGCTTGTGGCTGCGGCGAACTCATTGCCGTTGGGGTACGTTGGGGGGAAATGGGGGTCTTTTTCCTTTTGAGGTTGGTGCTTCTCATCGCGGCGGTGCTGTGTAAGATTGACCCTCCGTGAGGTGTTGGTCTTCTTCCCTGCGTCAACGGCCATTTTGGACGCACAAGCCATGTGCGGCGGAACGTCTGTGCGGTGGCCAGATATGTTTCGTGTCTTGTCTTTTTCTGGTGCTGGGAGTTCTCGGAAGTTTTTTGCTAGAGGGTGCCTTCTCTACTGCGGTGTCTTGTGGGTCTCATCGTTGTGGATTTTCTGGTCGCTTTGTTCCGTAAACCGATATCGTAGGCACAGCAGTCATGGTGCGGTTAGCTCTCCCGGCTTGGGCCTCTAGCTAGCCTCGCATGGGGGCACATGGTACCCCGTTTCCTGGGCGAGTTTCGGGCTTCCGTCGCCTTTTGTCCTGGCCGGATTCAGATGGGAGGGGGCAGTCATACGCAAACAGGCAACTTTTCACCTGTAACCGGTCTTTTTCATTGTTCTCGTGTCCGAGGGGGGTGGCTCTCCGACAGCGTTTATTTGGTCTTCTCAATGCTTTTCGGTGATGTTTTTTTGTGGGTGTCCTACTCTCTTGGCGGCGGGTTGGAGTGTCGCTTGTCCGCGTTCCGGTTTTTCTCCCAGTAGTAGTTGAACTTTGCGTCTAGCTGCCGAGGAGTGTCCCGAATTTTGTTTCCTGTGTGTTGATGCGCCTGTTGTTGTTGTTCTTGTTCTTGTTCTTGTTCTTGTTCTTGTTCTTCTTGGTGGTGCTGGTAGACAGGCAACGCTCAAGAGGGTCGCGTTGTTGACGCACGTATGCATGCTGTGCTGTGCTGTCGTCGAGACGCCTCTTGTTCACGTGTTGGTTTCAGCTTTTCGCGACACGCTTCTTCTCCGATCACGGGCGGGGGACCCTGTTTTTTTTTTTTCACCCATGCCGGCTCTCGGTTGCGTACGCACACGAGAGGTGCGCATGGTGCTCGCCGATCAATTGTCTACATTTGCGGATACGGAGTACCCGGTCTTTTTCTTTCTGGTGCCTTTACTCTTTTTGTGTGTGTTTTATTTTCTGTGTCTCACGAGATGGAGGACAATCACGAGCCCCCAGGGTCTGTCTCGAGGTTGGGATCGATCCGGTGTTGGTTGATTGGAACGTCGCTGTTCTTTGCGGAGGGCAAAAACATATCCGGGGGGGGGGGGGCGTCAGAGCTGACTACACAGTTTGGTGTTGGCGTGCGCAGTAGTATCGGGAGCTGGCACCCCCCACACGAAAAGAGAGAGTCCCGTGTGCCCGGTAGAATCCGCTCCGTCATTTGGAATCTGGGGGTTCCAGGCGACTGGCGAGGACGGTATTCAGGGGGAGGGGGAAACCATGATGAGGTTGCTGGAGTGCTTGCTTGTGTGGATTTCGTTGTGCTGGGAAGAAGTGCTGGATCCAGGGTGCACCGTATATATGTTGAAACGTTTACTGGGCATTTGCAATTCGTTGATCTTACGCAGTCAGCGATACGGGCGTGATTTGGTTTCGGCGTCGGGGTCACCTACTTCGGTTTTTGCCGGCGGCGGTCGGTGTGCAGCCGCCGTGAGTGGCTGCATTTTTTTTTTTGTCTCCGTTCTTCTGGGCGTACGATTGAGAGCCGACGCTCGAAGAACCCCGAACGGCTTGCACGTGTGTCTCGTCTGGACGGCTCTCCCTGTCGACTGAGGTAGTCCCAATTCAACCCGAAGCTACAGTGGTGATGTTCATCAGACTCCCTTTCCAAGAGCTGTCGAGAGAACGGGAGTGCTTCCTGCCATGCATCCGGCACACGGCGGGAGTTCGCACCTGCAGGGACGCTGGGGCGCGCGAGAGGGGGGGGGTCCTTCGCCACGCACCGTGGTGTGGTTCTGCTCTTCAGTCGTTTGAGGTCTTGACTGCTTGCGTGGTACCATGATTTGGTAGATGTCGCTGTGTGCGGGACGTTTCCGCTCCGGCCTTGTTGCCGTTGGTATTGTTGCTCGGTGTACGTCCTCCGGAAAAACGGCCGGTGTACTAGGGGCGAGGAAGTGGGGCCTTTTCCGGCGAAACGCGAGCTGTCGATTTGAAAAAGCAAGCTCCGGAAGGAGGGAGAACGAAAAGAAGTCTTCGTACCGCAGGAGAACGGGATGCGAAAAACTAAGGGAGAAAGATGAACATCGAAGCATTTTTCCCGCAGTAAATTAGGCGTGCCACTGCTGCTGCCGCCACTGCTGCTGCCGTTGCCTGCGGCCTGCTCCAGCACTCATCATCACGTCAGAGCGTCGGAAATGCGGAGGACAGCCACACTTGAGTGAAGGAAAGGCGGGGAGGAGGGATGACATGGAATCCACCAAGCTTGCTGGAAAGTTTCAAGGCAAAGAAAGCTACCCTGAAATGCATTGACTGCAGCTTGGGCGATGAGCTAGCGAGCGACAAGGATCGACCACAAGAAGCTACTTCTTATTTTTTTAAGTTTTGCGCGACGACATTTAAGCGGGGAGGAGGGCGAAGGATGCTGTGAATGGTTATGAGTGCGGCGTTGAGACAGAAGTTACGAGACCTATTGTGGGAGAGAAATCTGGCTCGTGCAAACGACAGCTTGAGGCAGCAACGGGCATCCTACCCAGTGGTCGAAGGCACGACGGAGCAAACAAATGCCTTTGTGCGGCAGTTGTGGTGATCGTGCTGGCGGTAGCATTTGCGCTTAGAATCGAATTGTTCGGAGGACGAACCCTCCGACATGTTCGGTATGGTGTATCGTCTGGTGTTCGTAGCAAATAGGAGGAGGCGGTTTTTTCGAGGCTGTCGGAGATTCTCGGCCATTGCAGCTAACCACCATTCTCCAGCTGGGGGGTCCGGGGAATCCCCCCGGGGGGGGGATTGGGCTGTGTGCGTACCCTTGATGTGCAACATCCGGGAAACGTTTGAGGCCCGATCATTGGACCTCTAGGGGGAGATCCGATAACATGAATGAACCTTTGTGTCCTGCTGTCTGTACGCGCACACTGTACACGCGAGAGACAAGGAAGAGGAAGAGTTTCTACAGATAACGGTTTCCGTTCCGTTCCCCCGGCTAGACCCACACGGCAATTTTTGAGGTGATCCTCTCGTCTTGCCTCGTCTGGAAGCACCCAGAAAGCTCTTACCCTCTACCCCCCGGGGTGCCCATTAGCGCTCTCGAGGAACGAGGAGGCGTATGCTTGCTATTGAGGCTTAGGCAGGCCCACGCTTAATGTTGCCACCAAGGACGGGTTCTCCCAGTCCACCCGGCAGCTCGATTCTTTCTCTGCGATGGATCTCTGCCCCCCGTTCTCTCTGCCTCTGTCCTCTCTCTCTCTCTCTCTCTCTCTCTCTCTCTCTCTCTCTCTGCT